TCCGATTCGAATGGATGTTTTTTTTTTTTTTTCTTCGAGGAGCCAAACGTGGCGGAATTGGGAATGGAGGCGCAGGGTGCGTCGAACCTATAGACGGCCTTGGATAGCAATAATGTCTGATCCGCCCCTGAAACAGTTCTTAGGGGTGAATATCCCTAGGAGGGTGCAGCCCCGAAATCGAGGGCTTAACCCATAGGAGAGGTCGTTTCCCCTAAAAATTCTCCCCTTTGTGTCACTAAGCGAAATGACTTCCTTCGCGGACAAAGAGTCCTTCGCAGCTTCTGCACTCTTGCCTCGGAGAAGCGTCGAGGAAAAGGGCCCAGAAGTCCTGAGAACAAAGCTCTCGACCAATTGGAGACGTTTCGATCCCTCGAGCTTGCCCACCCCGTGTCGAAAGATTCCAGCAATTCCCCGAGTTCGTCTAGGAGCCGAAAGCAAAAGAGCTCCCTTTTCCGGGTGCTTTCCTTCCCCCTCCTCCCGAAACTCCACCCAAACTCTCAGGGAATCGTCGTAAATCCAATCCTTGACGGTGGCCCAGTTTTTTCTCCCCACCGAAATCGAAAAACTCCTGGGGATTTATCGCCGTTGCACTTGTAGCCGAGCTTCGGAAAGGAAGATCCTGGAAAATCTACAGGGCGGATCTTCCTTTGTAAACGTCGATTTTACGAGGCAATCAATAAAGCCGATTAAATGGGATTAACTTGGTGGGGGACGTTTTGGGAAAAGTTACACGGTAAATAAAAATGGTAGAAGAGAGAACTGGAGGGTTTTGTCAACTCTCAAGGGGGTCTTGGATATTATTATTAATATTTCTTGGAGGGGGGGAGAAAAATGAATTTCTTGGACTCGTTCAATGGGTCTGTCCGAGCTCGACCGAGAGGCAACAATTAGGTTCTAATGTCCAATAATCAATCGAGTGGTCACGCAATGCGAGGGCACGTTAGTCCGGACAACGGACCGCGCATTGTAGGATAATGAAGGCCGTGACTGAGAAAATCGTATGTCACAGACCATCGCGTGACACAAATTGCACGGACTACTCGAGAGTGGGGAGGAAGTTAGAAAGTGCATTATTGCAGCGCCTGGAGCGAGTACAAGCGGTGCAAGCTCGTTGAAAAAAAAAAAGAGGCCTGCATTTTTGTTAATATCCGCGAAATGCGATCCTCCAATTTATGTAGACATCCTCCCACGTGGCCCGAGTAAATGTTTTCCCCGAGCCTCGCGTTGAAACTTTCGCCCTTGAGTGGAATCGAAACGCCGACCGCGAAAGAGTGCTACTCCACCTCGGTACCTGATCTCTTCTGCTTAGACTCGCATTATCTCCTAAACGGTTCATCTAAACCGTACTTAATCATAGGTCATTGGAATCGTCTCAGTAAACCCTACAACATTCATCTAGGTGAAAAATTCCAATTTGACGATATTATCCAAGTAAACTCCCGGAAATTACCCGAGAGTCGGGAATTTCATTTCCAGGGTGTACCTGCCTGCCTCCTGGGGTTAATATTTTTCAAAGGACTCGGACACTCGCGGTAACCCCTTACGATTTAACACAATTAGTTGTACGCATTATTATTTATTTTATCATATTTTCTTATTATTAAATCCCAGGCTACGTAAGATCTCGGTTCGCCCGATTTCCCCCTTTCGATTGCACCCCTTCTGGTTGAAATATGCTTTTATCAAGGAGCGCCGTTATCGGCGGTTTCCCTAGATTCTGGATTTTTCCCTGGTATCGTTTTCCCGGCTAGTTGCGAGACAAACAAACATTGGGAAAGGACAACGAGACCAGGCGCGATCGGCGGGGTCTGCGTTGCTCGAAGAAGAGGCTTAACCTCGTTCCAGTGGCGCGGCCACTCCGCGCGTTTAATTGCGGCGAAAGAGCTCGGGAAGAGCCCGAGGAGCCCCGGGACCGAATTTGAATTTCCCTTTGTCCCTGGCGGTGGTTCGATGCTGCGTATTGTCCGGCGCATAAAAGCCCCATCGGGTGCGGAGCGAGAAACGCAAGCGGGGACCGCCATGGATATCGACCGCCCTGCCCCTGCATGCCCAAACTCCACTCTATTTATTTTATTCCGCAACTCTGTTTACTTTTCTATTTATTATACCCTTTTCTATCGGAATAATATCGATCGGTCAGGTCGATATTAACGGGACACCCAGGGAACACGAGAACGTAATCATGGGGAGGCACCGCGAGAAACGTGAATTAAAAAGGATGCAAATATGGCGGACTGACATTACCCCGTTTAAATAAAAAAAGAGAGAGAGAAAAAAATCTAACGAATCCACGGAGGGTTAGTTTGCATCGATGAAACGTCCATACTGCTTCGTGGACACTTAAATCCAGCTATCGAGTATTCGATAGCTGGATTTAATTGGAAGCTCCGGAAAATCCGATGCGGCGGACTCGAAGATACTCCGGGTGGATTAAGGATGTTAATGTCTATGGGAGTGGAATTTTGCTGGAGCAAAGGGAAAGATCGATCTAGAAATTGGTTCCTTTTAGGACAATTTTCCCCTTTACTTTCCTCTTTTATTTAAATCCTCTCGATGGAGCGGAGATTCTACTCGCTCGGATGAATCCTCCTGGAAGATTCGCGTGCCTCGACCACAGGATATCCCATGTAAAGGACTTCCGAGGCGTAATCGTCGCCACCTATTTCCGGTGGACGATCCTTTGTCTCTGCCCCCACCAGTTCGGGTCCTTGAAAAGGATCTTACGACCTCGAAATTGCAGGTTGCCGTGCCAGGGAAAATCGCAGGACATCCCCGATGACTCACTGACACGGTGCGCTTATAAAATCATAAACTCGAGCCGACGTGGGAACCAAGGGTTCCCGGGGGAGGAGTAAAAGCCTTTTTCCGAGGGAAATGCCTCCCAGGACGGGGCACCGTTTAAAAGGAGCGCTATACGGTGGAAACAATGGGATAAAAAAGAAATTCCCCCCGGGGTGGAAAATGTTGGAATTTTTTTACGAACCCACCCTGGCCCGAAGTTCGAGCCGTTCTCCTGGTTAAGAAAAGGAAAAGAAAAGTGTTATCCTATCACGAGTTACTTGGAATTATTTTCTTCATTTTCAGTCACAAAGTAAGGAGTCTGGGTTTAGGAATTTATGGGAGAGAAACGTCATTTTTATCGGTATCGCTGTCTCTCCTGTTAGTGGTAGTACGAGTGGGCACGTATTTTTGCAGATTTTTATTATGGGCAGGTATTGGCTGTCGGATATATATCCCTGCTCGAAGATGAAGCCCCCGGACGGTGCGCAGAGGAAGCGGATCCTCCGGGTCCTCCACGTCCTCCTCCCCCACGTCGAGGGCGTCGCGCTTTAAGAGCTTAAAGTTCACGCAACTGGGGGATGAGAATGGGGCAAATATTTGGGAATCGATCGCAGTCCTTTTCTCCGTTCCCGCTCGAGTTCTGCCGAGGGTTGCACCGACGAAACCGAGGGTGCCTTTGACTATTGAAACACGAACTCCCGGCCCTTCCCATTGAAACAAGGACGAAGAAACGTGCCCCACGTAAAGCGGTACCTCTTCCGAATAAAATCTTCCGAGAGTGAAACGTAACAAAAAAAAAACCCCAATCCTCGAATCTCTCCCCTTGAAACAAAAAAGGAGCATCTACCATTAATCTACGATCGCAAATCTCGATATTCACATTAATATTTCACCGGGTCATTTAATTTATCCCTCCACTATTGCCAGTCTCTTCTTGGCTGGCGGAACAGCCGCGCCCTTTGATTTCCCTTTTTTTTCTTTTTCTTTTTATATAATTTTTTTTTCTTCTTCCTTAGAAAGCGGCGGGATTCTCGCGCGCATTTCGGCGGCTGTTAAAAAAGTCAAAGTAGTCAAAGCTCCTCCACCCCGGCCGGTCGAGTCCTCGGCTTTGTGCCAACGAAACTCGGGGACGAGCAACCCTCGTACGCGAGGTCGCTCGATTGATTCTTCAGAAACGCTCCAAGCCCTTCGCGGCTCCTTTCCCTCTGCCGCGTTCGCCCTCTCTCTCTTGAGCCCGCAGAGCCGCATGCGGCTTTCCTTGTCTCGCTCTCCCGAGCGCTCTTGAACGGGGCGCAACAGAGGAGGACCCGGAGGTATCCACCCCGGTATTGTCGGTATCTTTCACCTCTCATGAGAGAGCATCGTCCAACGAAAGTGCCGCCAGGGGTGCGGCAAGAAGACACTCTTGCACAGGTGTACACGGAAAAAATTTCATTCTCCCGAGAATTCTCCCTGATGGTACCCCCTTTTTTTTTCTTCTTTCGGGCGAAAAAAAAAATAGGAAAAATCGAGAATCTCGCGAGGGATTCCCCGAAAGTGAACCGAGGGATGCGCCACGATTCGTCGCATCGTTTCCTCCCCTAGATAGAAATTCCTCGCCGAGGTGGGGGCGATGATTAAAAGTCGCCCTGGAAACGGGAGCGTTCCCGTTTTCGTCCTGGTTTCGTTCGGGGAATTATACGGCTCCGCCACCCCCGACCACCTGCGAATGAAAGGGGTGGTTTCATTGAGCACCGGGAGCGGCGACAAGTCGAAAGTTTCGGAAAAGCTCGAACAAACGCGGAAGGTCGTTAAAGCCACCACCTCCACCGTGTCCAGAATTATGGATCGACCGAGATCTACGAGCTTTTAAAAACCAAAAAAAAAAAACAAGAAAAAAAATGTTGAGCCCACCTTTCACTAGAGTCCAATTTTTTTTTTTAAGGCGACGATATATAAAATGCAACGTTATACGATATTCCTCCGTAGAGTTGGCATATCTGGTTATAAGAGCGGTTCTCGCGATTACCGGAATATCTCCGGCCTGGCAGGCTAAATCGTAGTGCACTCGCACGAGAGATGTTATTTTACGGTTGTTGTTTATCATTGTCGAGGGTAAAAAGTACTTTGTAGAGCCGCAGGGCTCGGAGGCACCCTGGCGCGAAATCACCGGGGAGTTACGAGCGGCTCGGCAAAATCGCAGGCTAAGATCGCTGCAATCAAGGGTTTCCCTTTTACAGGTGCCGAGGAGCATTCTCGGAGATGGAGATCCGGAGGCTTTAGGACTTCCTTCGGTCTTGGTCCAGCCCTGATCCCATCTTCCTGTAATCAGGTCAATCCTCGGAGGATGTCGCGAAACGAGGCGACTCCACCGCGGACGCGCTGATAGAGCTCCGCTCCAGAATCCGGGGGAGAAGACTGGCTGGGAAGAGAAACCCTCCTTCAAGATGGGCAAGTGTTGCAGCAAACGGCAAGACCCACAGCCCATTGGTGAGGATTACACTTTTCTTCCCTTTAATGCACTCGGTTTTGACCCTAACATCGCTTGACTGGCCAGTTCCGAAGCTCCTGGGGGGTTATCCTTATCACGGGGAGGATTCCGCGAGTCCTTTCGCTCGACGATCCTGGTGATAATAACCCCCCAAAAAAGGAAGAGCAAACGTCTAGGGTAATGGAAAGCACACTAAAACTACTAATTCTATGGGGTAGTTAACTTTCCGATATTTAATTCACCTAATGTGGATAACATGACTTCCTCTCATTTTTAATACGAATTACTTGTACCGAGTGTATGACTCTCTTATCGACCCTGAATAAGATCCCTGCTCTCAGGATCGGTGCCGACCATTTCCTGGGCTTTGACTCGAGGAAGAGGGAGAGAAAATGTAGGCAAGTTAAATTGACGGCATGGTTTTCATCTTCGCCGTCTACCTAAATTAAATGCATAATCGACGTAAAAGTGACGCCGAAGATGTCTCATTGATGAAACTTTTCTCCGAACAAGGTGCGCCAGATCGTTTCAAGCCTCTCGATGTTAATACAGAGGCTACAAAACAAAAGGATCTAATACCCAGGAACTTCAACTTTTGTTAAATATGTTCATAAACATTTTTTACATCTCGTATACAAGATTTAATTTCATGAGCGTCAGGACCTTCCTTATAGTCGCCGCCTTCAGGTAGCAATGTCGGAAGCGATTCACCGTATCTGGTTCAGAAAAAAGTTTCATGAACTATTGTGTGTCAGGTGACAATTTTACATCCCCTTGATATCTCTTTGTCGTTTGTAGCGTCGTAGGAAATTGAGCTTGCCCGCGTTTTCGGGGAAAAATTCTCGGGGGAGTTTAGGATAGACAACGTTACGATGCACGATCCTGTAACGAACTCATAATGAATCGAAGTGTGTTCAGGTTACAAGAAAGCGGATACAGGACTCAGCTCGAAGCACAGCAATGGCGGGTCCTTGGATCGGTACACGGCCGATCCTAATCAGAGAGGAGTTCAGGCCAGGGCGGATATTATCCGACCGAGGCCTACCCCCTGTAAGATACAGATACCGCATCAACCCCGTAAAGCAAGCTCGCCTGTTGTTGTGTCTGCATGTGTGTATTAAGTTCTTTTACGTTAACGTTATGCCCCTAATACTTCACCGTCCAGCTGTAAACGTAAACGTGTCGATTTTGTTTAATTTCGCATTACCCGACAGCGCGCCGATTTGATTAAATTAATCGGGCAAAAATATGTCGAACAGCTTTTGCACATAGACGCTTCCAGTGTCCCTCGTTCGGCACTTGTTCGCGATGTACCCGAAGCCCAGCTACACGTGCGTTTAATTCCTAAGACATTAGTGCCACGTAATGAAAATTACCGAGCGGGGCACAGTGGCAGTAAGCTTAGTCTAGGAGCGACCTAACGTTATATGGATATCGGTACCGAGAGGATTTGGAGTACATTTTTATTGGCATTTCCCCTCTCGTATATAGCGCACTCTCAGAGGGCTAACAAAATCGTCGTCGCTCTGTACAATTACACCGCTCGGGAAAGCACCGACGTCAGCTTCGTCAAAGGGGACCGAATGGAAGTGTTGGACGACACGGAGCTGGACTGGTGGAAAGTGCTGCACTTGACGACTCTTCAGGAAGGTCTGATACCATGGAACTTCGTAGCCGTGGAACGATCCGTCGAGAGCGAAGAGTAAGTGCCCCCCTGCCTCCGCGTTAATTGAAGAATCGCGGCCGAAAGGTCCTGAAGTGCCAAAGTTGAGGCCCACGCAATGAACCTCGAAGTGCCTAAGAGGAAGTTTCCCGGCGTTAAAGCGCCAAGTCGAACGAAACTTAGCCAAGGGGAATGTTAAGAGGCGATTAAACTCCTAGATGGTGGCAAAGAAACCCTCCTCTGCAGTTTTGCGCTGGACCTTTCCACGGAAACTCGGTAGAGTTCCGCGCCAAATCTATCCCCTTGCGTGCGTACATATACGTATGCATGGAAGGGTGCATTCGTGGGAATAATTTGTAACGTCCTCATTTCAGCTGGTTCTTCGAGAACGTGTCCCGAAAGGAGGCGGGGAAACTTCTTCTGGTGGACGAGAACCCCCGTGGGACCTTCCTGGTGAGGCCGAGCGAGCACAATCCCAGGGGATACAGCTTGTCGGTGAAGGACTGGGAAGAAGGCAGAGGACATCACGTAAAGCACTACAAGATCAAGCCCCTGGACAACGGCGGCTTCTTCATCGCCACCAATCAAACATTCCCCACGTTACCCGCCCTCGTCATGGCGTACAGTAGTTAGTAGATCCCACTATCCGGGGCGCAATCCTTCGACGCACCGTTTCTATAAGAGATTAATGACATATTAATAGATTTATGAAAGAGACAATGGTAACTGGTGCGACCGATTCGATCGATTTTCCTCAGAAAACGCCCTAGGACTGTGCCACGTCCTCTCGAAGCCCTGTCCGAAGCCGCAGCCGGACATGTGGGACCTAGGTCCAGAGCTGCGGGACAAATGGGAGATCAACAGGAACGAGATCCAGCTGATCAGGAAGCTGGGCCACGGTAACTTCGGCGAAGTCTACTACGGGAAGTGGCGGAACAAGATCGAGGTAGCGGTGAAGACGCTGCGACCTGGGACGATGTCCTCGGAGGCCTTCCTCCAGGAGGCGACCATAATGAAGCAGTTCAGGCACAGGCACTTGGTCGCGCTTTACGCGGTCTGCTCGAAGGAGGAGCCGATCTACATAGTCCAGGAGTACATGTGCAACGGGAGCCTCCTGGACTTCCTGAGGACCGGGGACGGGAAGTTCATGCAGTTCGAGGACCTCATCTACATAGCCGCCCAGGTAGCTTCCGGGATGGAGCACCTGGAGAGCAAACAGCTCATACACAGAGACCTGGCCGCGAGGAACGTCCTCATAGGCGAGAAGAACAAGGCCAAGATCTGCGATTTCGGGCTCGCCAGGGTGATCGAGGACGACGAGTACTGTCCAAAGCAGGGCAGCAGGTTCCCGGTCAAGTGGACCGCTCCGGAAGCTATCGTCTATGGTAGATTCAGCATCAAGAGCGACGTCTGGTCGTACGGGATCCTCCTCATGGAGCTCTTCACGTATGGGCAGGTCCCCTACCCGGGTAAGATCGGAGTTACCTGTCGAGTCGAATTCCGCTCATCAAGGTGATACGAAAGGGTCATTTTAAACACATACAACGTGAAAATATTTATAAAACTCAAGCCGGGTGGACCGAATCATTCGAAACTTCGGCACGTGATTACGAAGGCCCCAAGGAAGAACGCGATGCCCATGAATTTTCACTTCTTAAAAAAAATATCTATCCTTGGTTCCACTTAGGGATAAATGAAATCGATATTTTAACGTTTGTATATATATCCTAGAATGATCCTTTCATATCACATTGATATAAGAGTATCACGCATGAATGTACATATTCGTAGATTAAGTGACTCTTACCTTGGCGAGAACGTTGGCGTGTGTGTGAACAACCTAGGCCTGCGAATTGAATAATCGAATCATTGAATTGACGCGGAGTAGTTCAGAGTATGTTCTCTTCTGGTCGCATCTGGGGAATATTTGCCTAAACTTTGTTCCTTGTTTCAGGGATGCACAGCCGAGAAGTGATCGAGCAAGTGGGCAAGGGCTACCGGATGCCGAAGCCGCTTAACCACCCCCTGCCCGACAGCATCTTCCGGTTGATGCTGCAATGCTGGGACGCCTGTCCGGAGAAGAGGCCCACCTTCGAGTTCCTGAACCACTACTTCGAGTCGTTCAACGTGACCAGCGAGATACCGTACCTCGAGCCGCCGACGGACTGATACACGGTCCACATGCAAACCCATCTGGTGCCGCACGGTCATTTCCATCCAGCGCACGTAAACTGTGCGATGGAGTTCTACGGTATTTATTGTTAAATAAGGGCACCAAGTGGGGCAGCTCTCGGCCGAGCCGCTTAAAGCCGCGCCGAGTCGCGCGATGCCAAAGGGACCCAAAACCCCATCGCCGGGAGCGCGACGAAGACGTCGAGACGCTGCCAGAATCTAGCCCAATCCCCGGACTCTACCAGGAGCATAATTGGAACATGCCGGATCGCTCCAGGAGGGTGGTCCCCGGATTAGCCGGGGATGGAAGATCCGCCCCTCGCCTTCGAGCACCCGATATCGATGGTCCGGACTCTAACGAAATACCACTTCCGGCGAGCAGGTCGAAGGGCGAAACGTTGCGTGCCATTCACTTTGTAAACTCCGTAAGCCTTGTCGACGAAGACCTTGGATATCTCGGAAGAGCGTACACAAGAGGAGAAATCGAGGATCGACTTCGGTACCTGTCCCGGGATCCTTGCTGACGTTCTCGACATTTAGTTCCAGGGTGCCATCAGGAGTACTCTTCGCGTAGCCGACGTGAGTATCCGCCGAGCCGAGGCGGCAGGCTATTGAAAGAAAAAGAAGGAAAGGGAAGAACACGGAAAAACGGAGACCCTCGGTTAAGGAGAAATGTCGCCAGGGATACCTTTCGGACTGTACAGCCATTTTGGGATACCAGGATATACTCTAGGTAGTCTCTAGATTAACTGGAAATTAAGCTAGAGGATGTTCACCCTGGTCGGGTTCCGTCGTATCGAAATTCTTTGGGAAATTTGGAGAACCGCCCGGGAGGGCGAGTTTTCGGATGCCGCCCCCTTCGCGATCGATGCACCCCTGTCGATTGAGATATTAAATTCCAGGGTCAGGGAATTTCCGGATATTGGGAATTCGACTTTTGTAGGAATTTTACGGCCCTCGCGGGTGCCTTGGATTTATTTAACGGAGGGCCGAGGAGTACTCTTCGATCGGTCGTCGATGATAATCCAGAACTTAATGAGTTCCTTGATGGTAGAGTTAATGTAAAGTGCACTGTCAAGGGCGATTCCGCGTCTCCCTTTTTTAATATCTCGCGCGAGAAGTCGAAGGTCTTCGGGCGAAGAGTTGTTAATTGTAAGATGGTGTTTAGAAAGTAGAGTCGGCAGTAGCCGGCGATGGATAACGTAGCGTTTTAACTGATAAGAGATTAAACTAGTTGCCGTGGCCGCGCTCTAGCCAAGTAGACGGCGGCCACTGTATATATATGAAGACGACATTTCGCGTAAAGTCTACGTATTATACATATTGTAAACCCGTAGCCACTTTACATTGATCTCGCGGCGGCCGGGGCCGATGATTTTTTTATTCGAAGCAATCGGACTCCCGATAGTCCGTTGATAAAATCGTTCGAGACTGAGGGGCCGATCCGGCAGCGGAAAAAAAAAAAAAAAAAAATGTCGCGTGGGAAATGCCTGCTTGTATCGTTGCATACAAACATCGCACGTGAAACAAGCAAAGCGCCTCAGAAAACACCCCAGAAGCACTTTGAACGGGATTTTCACGATTTTCATGCCGTTAGAAAATTATAGAAATATTCGATTAACTCTTAACTCGTTATGAAAATCGTGCGGAAACATCGAATCCGTGCTCGGCGTGTTTCTCTGAGTTGTTTCGCCGATTTTGGCCAGACAACGGACAGCGTCGGTGGTATTCGTCATTTAAGTGCCGAACAACGAACCGTTTCGAGTGTACATTGTATTTAAAAGGATCTCGTTAATTACAATTACAATTTTAATAAGTAAATCTAAATGAAAATAGTTAACGCGACTGCGAGATCGTGTCTCACGCCTGTTGTTGATGATTGTTCGGCAATTAAAACGCGAACTACCACCCTTCGTCGGCGTCGAAGAAGACTTCCTTTACTCCGATTTTTCGTCAGCTCTTGCCTGCCTCCTTTAGTTTTAACGCTTTACCCGCGTTTCTTCCGAGGTATTCCCATTCTCTCCCTCTCTTTCTTTACCAGTTTAACATTTACAATATGAATTATCATAGAGATTATATCCATACGATTCCACGCTGTGATTGTCTCTCGCAGGTGCAGAGAGCAGTTTGATCGAAGAGCTCGAAAGACATCATTTTAATTCTTTTCTTTTCTTTTCTTTTTAATCAAACCTTTAAGAGGATGCCTCGCGCCGAAATATTAATTAATAACTGCCCCGAGTATAATCCCCGATCGCCTTTGGTAGGCCTTCTCGTCTCGGTTCAGAATCTCCCGCCAGAGGCAGGAAAATACCGGGGGAAACTTTTCGAAAGGAAAAAGAAAAACCGAAACAAAAAAGCAATTGGGAGCAAACTCCGTGAGTTCAGAAGTCTCTAATTAATCCCGTGTAAAAAGTACATATCTGCTCCCTACGTGTTTCCTACTTTCCTTTCCCAGTTTCGCTTAAATAGACCCAGTTTCCCTGAGACATATTCCCAACAGGGGAAGGCGCAGCCTCTGTAAGAGCATTTTCCGGGGACGTCTTGTGGATGGGAAAAGAGATATTCATAAATTAAAATGGGGGGGAAGAAAACAGAAAAAGTGGGTTCGTTCGTTGCGTCCGAGCGAGCCGAGACATTGAGTTACTAGAAGCCGATTGATAACGAGCAATGATGAGCAATGCGTGAATGGGCAAGTGTGCGTGCGTGTGTCACTGTAAAGGAGGTCCGAACAATGCCGTACACCTCGGGCCGCTTGGGTAACGTAAAACGTAATAACTTAAGTCATCGATGTTACTCGTACAAAGTATCCGAAGAATTGTACATTTTCTACTCGAGGGAATAACAGAGGAAAAAAAAGAATAATAAGGATTAGGGCAGGTCGTAGGATAGGTAATACGTGTGGAGCCTTCGCGGATGAAAACGAGGTCTTTGTTGAGAGATAGGAGCGCCCAAGCTCGATCTCGAGAGAAGTCCTTCCAAGGACCATCGACCGAAATTTTCTCGATGACCGACGAGAGATTCCCACCACGTGGAATGACGATCTTAACGAACTAATCGTTTGTGCGGGGTTAACGCGGAGATGGGAATATTTCTACTCGATGAGTCTCAAGGCGAGCGCACTTGTACATTGTTACCGAGGACCTGATAACAATTGCGGGACCATCGATGCGACGCTTTTGTCAGAGAGATATATTGCCAAGTCGATTCTACTCGTGATGTGTCATCCCGAGGAAACCCGCTGTAAAGACCTCCGGTGAGATACGTCCATCCGACTTGTAATCAAAGATCATTCTCCTCAGTAGACAATCGGAATTGTTGCCTGTCCTGTGATGTAAAGTTGTTAGGAAAAATTGGCAAGCAGCTACCTCTGAAGCTTTTTATTTCATTCTATAAGTTAATTCCTGGAGTAGCGGTGTGCCCATCTCCGGAGTCGAGGGAAAAAACAAAAGACGCGTTACGCAGCGGCTGCGTAGCCAATTAGAGAATAGTCGTACGTCCAATAAGAATTTTTCTATAAAAAGAAAGGAAGAAAAAAAAAAAAAGAGAGAAGGAAAGAACGTTTTATACCGACCAAAATGATGTTGCTGTGTTATATACTCGACGCGTCCTTCCGGCAGCCGTTTGACGCCCAGTTTTTAATATATCTAAGGACACATTTCACCCATTCATGTAGAATCTCGAAGGCGACATGTTTTTTCTTTTTTTATGTATATACAGGAAAACGCAAAAATTTCTACGCGTTGGCGATGACAGAGAGTGTATAACGGAAGTAGCGACTCGATGAACAAAAATGTGTGAACGCAGAAGAGATACCAAGTCAAGAGAGAAAAGCCAAGGCCCTTGTCATTTAAATCTTGAGCTCATGACCCCCTCCCTCCTGGTATTGAATCAAAGTACAAGTAATAACTACCGCGCGTGTTTATGCAAACGTTCAGGTAGCTATTCTAACGCCGAGTGAACAGTGCCTCGTTACTTGAACATTACCTACGAACATTAGGTACCGTAGGCTGTGGTTATAAATTTAACTCGACTAATTTATACGCCAGGTAATTATTTATGTACAATCGAATCGATTTGGGTTGAGTCTTTCGCACCGATCTCCCTTATACGCTCCGTTTTTGTGCATTCGTATATATGTATGTACGGTGTCCATGACAGCTGAGTTGTTGAGGACGTAGTGAGAAAATAATCCGCGGAGAAACGTGTGCCCAGATAAAAATAGATATTATATAAGGACAAGCCAGGAGGGATGGCGAGGCGGACGAGTTAAAGAATCGAGCCTCTGTTCTTTCGAGTCGCGACCGCATTTGCATACGCCTTTGATCTTTCCACGTCAACAAATAAGGACGATGACCGCAATCGTCACGACCGGCGACCCGAAGTCCCCGTTGCACCTAGCAGACAAATTTTTCGAGGCGATTTTCTCTCTTAACGAAGGAAAAAAAAAAAGAAACAGAGGTAAAAAGGCGAACTTCATCCCAGGGAGCGACGTTTCTACTGCCATTTTTAGAATAGCCGACGAAAAAAATTCTCAAAGTGCTCGAAACTCCCCGCGGTCGCGAGTCCCTTGGGATGAAAGAGACCTTCATCGAGGGCGAGAATAGAGGAAAAGAAAAGGAAATTCTAAACCGCATACCTAGAGTACTTATAAATCGCGTTTGGCGTATCTAAGAGAAGCTGATATCTCTCTCTGTATTAACATTAACAATATACAGCCTGATACCGAACTCGGAGGTGTAGACTCGGGTGAGCGTTTTCGTGGAGTTAATCGATGAATGAGTGTAAGAGAAAAAGAAAAGAGAAAGGAACTAAAAAAAAAAAATAGGCCAGATAAGACTCGGCACGCCGAGGAGATACTAGCAGAAATTTGGAACGAACGGATCCGTCTTTGTCAAACGCTCGGGCCACGTTTCGTATCGCTTCTACGGAATAGAAAAATATTTTGGATGCATTTTAAATCACGCCAGCCGTGGAGGGACTCGTTTGGGATTTCTCTGAGTCTCCAAGGTGCCGAAGTCTCTGGTGTTACTAATTGTTTGGTGGGCAATTAACGTCGTTTAATGACGCGAGTCTACACCGAGCTCTCTGTCTTCGGTTCAAGGGCCGTCTCGGCGTGGGCTCGCTCAATGATAAATTTTGACAAATGTGTGATATATATAGCAAACAGACCTCAAGTTTTGATACCGACGTTCTAATTGAGGGGCCTACGACGAGGATAATAATATGTCGGGGCGTTTAGCACAAAGTACTCGTGTTTCGCTGTATAATTCTTCTTCAATATATAGAGGTCGTCATACGGCGTGCACGTCAGAGACGCGGAGAGAATATTTTGGCCGCGTTTGCCCGATTTCGAGACTCGTAAGGTAATTGAAAATGTAAAGAGCAGTCTTGTGTTTTCGAAATAATGAACATTTTGGAAGCGCTTGGATATCCGATTGTTCTTATACATATTTTCCATTGAATTACGAGCTCGAGAGTGTCCCTAGTGTCAACGCGCGCGGTTTACTAATACTTAAGATAAAGATCGATATATGCTGTCGTCATTGTTTATGTACCAAAGCTTATTAAGTAATTTAATGATTACTTTGTATTATTGTATTATTATAAGTCTATACAGATCAATATATTATGTATCATATTACAGCATGATCTTTATTCGGTATCCGAGTAAAAAGTTTATATCTATAACAAAGTATCGTTCAGAGATCTACTATGATTATGGGACAGATCTTTACCTCGTGAGAATATTTTCTAGGACTTTTACTTTCTATCGAATTGCTAAGAAATTATCGCCTTAGAATCCAGTCCCTGATTTGAGCTCCCTTCGATACTAGGAATCGCATTGATTAACAGCAACTCGCCATTAATTCCGTATTTGATTTTACTGTAGGGATATGTATATATCAGATGTAAAAAAGACTAACTATCCACAGAACTTCTTGCGAGATTGCTTATGTTTATTTCATTATACAAAATTTGTTTAAATAAAGACCCTTATTTTGTTTTAGGGAAAAGAAATATAGGAGAACGAACAGACGTAAAGAACTACTAAAGTGTGCCACAACTAAAGGTTCATATCGATATTCGACGTTACCAACTATCGAAGACAAATTAATTTGTGTCAGTTTCAGATATTTGACTTCCATGTTATCACAAGTGACATTTGTACAACTTCTTCGATATCAAGTATAATTTTTTTGTACAAAATAAGAGAGAAAAAGAAATCATAGCAAATGTGTATTAGCTCTGGGATAAAGACAATGAGAGGTAACACGAGCGATTGGCACCTCACACAATACAATCAACTCATTAAGGACATTCAGGGATTAGAATTAAATGTACATCATTTCAGCCATGTGCGACATTTTCTTTGGAATATGGACAAAAATGTCGAAATAACTTGCAAGCTCGTCGATGGTCACGTCACACGATGGAGTCGATATTCTTGCTTGTACGGAACAGGTATTTGAACTGGAGGGCTGACCGACTGCATTTTGTAAGTCTGCTTGACTATTAGAGCCTCCACCAGGACCAGGTCCTCTTTTTAAACTTGGCATTGTATTACTACGTGCTCGTTGGAAGCTAATCGAATAATAGGTGTCCTGAATGCTAGCGTCGTCTTTAACCCTTCTAGAATCTTGGCTTATATTCAGTGCTTTAAAGTCCTTTGTGACAGAGCCATGACCGAACGTTTTAGAAGTTCTACTTGTAATACTGAGTTTACAAGCTTCTTGAAGTAAAGTACTCGCCAAATTTTCACTCAGACAGGAAGAACTAGAATCGTTTAATTTCAGGATAGCTTCTTTGAGGATAGAGTTCTTCTTCGGTTTGTCTAGAACTTCATTTTTAGGTAGCTTGAAATTCGTTGTATTTTTGACACCACGGGGGACGTCGATCGATGATACCGGCTTATTGCGCATCGATCTTCGTTGGAACAGGTGGCTGCAGTCGGTAGAAAGACCTTTACTGTTCATTTTAAATGGATTCAAGGGCTTGGACTCGTCGTTCTTGGCTTTACTGAAACAATAATGAAAATTTTCTTACGAATCCCATAAGTACTTCAAATGAGCTCTAAACATATTCACAACATACTTCAAATACAGACGGAAACTAAAATAACCCAGCCCGAACAAAGACGATTGCTTTCCAGATACATCGACGCTACACGATTACCTATACCCAGGGATCTAAATATAATTATTGGACGGAGAGTACAAAAGGCAACTCATTTACGTAAACACTAGGACAGCCAACAATCCCTGACATCAATCGCTCGAAAATTTGTAAAGTCACCGTATACCGTTTACAATCCCTCACATAATGAGTATTTCATCAAAGAACACTTACTGAAGAGATACAGTCGTGGTCGCTTAGTGGCTCCGGAACGTGTAAAAAGGGAGCATTGCGACGCACTAAGGTTGGTAATTGAACTCGACAACTTACTGAGTGCAGGTCGAAGCGAGCCGATCAATTTCCAGTTTTTCCAAGCTTGCCGGGAGCACGTCGTCGACCATCATAGCAAATTTCACCGAGCCGGGGTTCACAGCATGCCGAAACATGACGTACTGACATTCGGGTACTGTTGACATTAGGGCCGTTGACAGCTTACCCGAAGATTCGAGAAGTGGCGAGCGCGCGAAATAGGTTAGAATGGAGGACGCGCCAAATGTCGCGTCGCCGCGACGGCGCGTGCCTCTTGGGACTGCTTTTGAGTTGCCGGACTAATCCTCTCTCACACCACCACCGTTACATTATATCACGCGTGCTCGAACAAGATCCTTCCGAAAGGTTTGAAAGACTACACTTTATGCAATCAATCGATTATCGAAGAGACGTCGGATAACTGCCAGAGATGAGTTGGGAGATTGCTTACGGGCAGGATCGTGCGATCGCATCCTGTGCTGCCCTCTGGTTTCGTACGTTAGCTTTCATCGTTTTTTGCCCCCAAGGGCGGCGCAACGAATTTCTGATAGGAGCTCGCGCACTCGCGATGGCGGTACCATCTACCAGTCGCCGTTGGCGGCTCACGTACTCGTAATGGTAATACCAGCATCTCTGGTAATACCATGCGGCAGTTGACGGTGGTGGCTTTAAGCCACCGAGCCCGCCATAATCGCACGATCCTGCCCGTGAGCAATCTCCCAACTCAACTCTGTAACTGCGCGTCACCGTCATTTTCTTTCTGTTTGATTCCAGAAAGCCTCGCGGGCGGCGCATGCGCGCGCCCTCGGCATCATGGCGACGCGCTAAACTTCGAATTTGGTATAACCTTTATTTGCTAACGGCAACATCAGAGTACAAATGCTTTTACATATTCGATACGGGTTTCCAGATCGTTGTTATAATTACCCCCTTAGGAAGTAAAGCATTAAGTTCAAACATCGTGCTTTATTTGCGATTATTTCTATCGATTCTATATCAAGAACGAATTAACCGGAAGTGACGCCTACCAGAGCACCATGTGATGCATCGTGGCGTTGCGCCAGACAACTTTCAAAAGTCAAAGAACGCTAAAGTAAAAGAGGATGTGGGTATTATTAGAAGTATTCGTTAAGTACTTCCGTAATGTATACCAAAAGCGTTCCTAAATAACCTACGTAACTACAGTTTATACTCTGTTGATATGCCACTTGGATCCGAGGAAGCTTTTTGAATGACACCGGTAACGTCCTACGAATATTACATTTAATAGCAACGATATTAATATCTAGGGGGGCAAAGGAGTTTCTGACGGAAGCGCTAAATCCTATTTTTTTACTCCGCCGTATATATGTTCCAGCGTGCGTCATTCTTATACAACACCTGGAATGCTCGCGGATTCCAGATCGCAGACTCTGCAGAGGATCGCGGATTCCAAACGCGTAACGAAGATCGTCCCGCAGCCAGATGCTGATAATTCGTTAAAGAATCTTGAGTGACATAAATCTCGAGGGTGACAGCGGCCTCCCAAAGAGATGGACACCTGGTCCGTTCACAACGAGCGTCCAAAACTAGCGCTTTAAGCGTCAACCGCAAATAGTCAGATAGTAAACGACGTATCCCTCTTAACCATCCGTAGAGGATTTAATGGCGACAGATTGGCAGTCGGGTCCATCATCAAAGTCCAGATTTAGACCCTGGCAAACGAATTGCCGAAATTTTCATGCGGTCGTTTCGTTTGCCAATATGCAACTTTCGCCCCTTTTTTTACTTACTAAACGGTTCGCGAGCGAGCTATCGGGATGTAGTAAATCAAATTTGAGACTAAGTCGAAATGCAAACATCGAAAGCGAAGCCAAAGAAAGCTTAGCTTCACTTTTAGATGGATATGCACGTATGCGGAATATTGTTTTTCTATGTTAGTACACGTGTTAAAAGGTTTTTTAATCGCTACGATATGTGGCAAACAGACTTTCCACGATCGCGTGGACGCGAATGTTTCGCCTGGAGCAGGATAGGTATTTAATGCAAAAAGCTAATGTTAATCTTTCTAGGGTACCTTCGCCATCCTCCATGAAAAAAGCTACGTGCAAGGCTCACGGAATATCGGATGATTCAACCCCGCACTCTCGGCCGTACCTTATTTTAGCGAGCTGCGGAATATTTACGAATTCCTTGAGAGCTACTCGCCAGTCACGGCAACTTCCTAGATAAAGCGAAGAGCTTCGAGAGCGAGATATGATTGAAACCACTGCCAGCCAGGGATCGAGTTTCTCAGCGAGAAATCTCAGGTTCGTATGTGGAAGTTTTATTCAGATATGCCAGTATATTAGAAAATATTTTCACCGTACATCGTAAATTTGACACACACAAGCGAACGAATGTTTTTGCTCACTTTTTCCAAAACTCCGGCATGATACCGTAGAATTCTGAAAGCCGTTCAGAGATTGATAAAAAATGTCTGCTAATTTGTATTCAAGACTTGAAAATGATTGCTTCACCACAACGTTATGTACTGAAAGTGTATCTATTATTTATACATTTTGGGAATATTGTTGATGTATCGTACGATTTATGGGGTCGACTTTTCAGGTACGCGCGAGGAGGATGCCGGAAAGCCGCTGAAGCTTCTCTCGAGAATTTCTTGGCGTGGATGGACCCCTCGTCGATAAAAAATGTCTGCTAATTTATATTCAAGACTTGAAAATTATTGCTTCACCACGACGCTATGTACTGAAGGTGTATCTATTATTTATACATTTTGAGAATATTGTTGATGCATCGTACGATTTATGGGGTCGACTTTTCAGATACGCGCGAGGAGGATGCCGGAAAGCCGCGGAAGCTTCTCCCGAGAATTTCTGGGCGTGGATGGACCCGTCGTCGGTGTGGCGAGTCACCGCTGTACTTAAAGCCGTCAACGTGGGGCTCTTACATTAACGCAATTACTCCGATGTCGTGGCACGGCGACGAGCACCGGACAAAATGCGGGCTAGGGAGGGATCGTAAATTTCTCGCAGGAGAGCTTTCTCGCCGGCGCAGCCCGATTTAAGTCGCGCGTCTCGGAAAGGGCGTCGTGACATCATGGGGCAGCGACGCAAGCTTTAATATAAAAATAAGCGGTCTCCATGGCCCGATCGGGCGGGGCGAGGAAGGTGAGCTTCCTCTCCTCGATGCGAAATTTATATTTAATCGCATCCGGCCCGAGAGCGCCCTCTCCTTGGTAATCCGGCAGGAAACGACGAATAGGATCACCGAGAATCCGCGAGTCGTGCCTCGAACCGCCGGCGAGGCGAATTCGGAACTCGAGCCGAATTCAGGAGACGACGCGGCCGCCATTTTGGCTCACGCGGTTAACCCGTACCGGAAGTCGCTGACGTATCGCGGAACAAAGTCGACCTTTTGTAACGACTTCCCAGCGCGCATGTATGACAGTGGATTATAAACTTTGTCTATGTCATTTAGATACCGTAAAGAGACCCGCGAGCAAGAAGAAATGAGAAAAGAAAGCTCCAGAGCGAGTCTCGCGTATTTCGGGTGCTCCACGAAACTCGGGACTATTTCCTCGATGCTCTGTCTCTGCTTTACATTAAGGAGAATTTATATTTAGAAATTGTAAAGTCTTCGGAACTTTTACGAAAGACTTGTACTGACCGTTTTGGATTTTCTTTCTAGACATGGGACGCGAGATCATCCTCAATGGCGACAATGGAATTCGCCCTCTGAGGAATTCCACGGAGGATTACCATCGGCGAGGAAGATTTATTGGACGAGGACCACGAGAGCAAAGAGAAGGCGAGGTAGCGAGCGGAACGGCCCGACTTCCGTCTAAGACTTTGTAGATTCGGCGCCATCTTCCCGCGAGGCGCGAGATTCTGGCCGCAGTCGTTGGCACGAATCTTCGCGTAATTACAGCCTCGAGAGGCGAAACCGTAACGCGAATAGTTACACGCTCGATCCCTGCCCTCATCATGCGCATTAACCTAACAAATACCTCCTGCGACTGTATTATATATTTTCTATTTAGCCTCCTTACGAGCGGACGATTGTTTACTCGAGTCTCCTTAATATTGCCTGCACTGTTCGCCACTGTGCGCAATTATTTCGGCGAGACAATGGTGTTAAATTTATCCCAATCTAGAAGACCAGAATTTAAACAATTCCTGTACCTTAGGAAGTCATTACTAGACGCCTGAAATTCCATCGTTAACCTTGTGAGAATACTTAAATTTATACTTTCACGTCCATGCAAAAAGAGCGCAGGAGGCATATCGTCATAGAGTTGTGAGAAATTATACGGGAGGAATTACTGTCCGTATGAACGCGATGGAGCGGTCGTCGGTGTTAACTTAAGTGTTGGGACTGTGTGGATCACGGTATGAACGAGGCTCGAGCATTTCGTTTGTTTGCGATTCGCTGTAATTCCGGTGGGTTATTCCTTCAGATTCCATAAGAGTCCCGCGGCCCCACGGATCAAAATTCGCCGTTCAATGTCGAGATGGAACCTGACGATCCAATAAGGAAATGTTCGACATTCTGGCCCTCCTCAGCTGCGCATACGCGGCCTGCCTTTGGTGCGGAGTCCTCGGCGCATGGTAAACGTCAAATGTCTGCAATTCCAAATACACGAGCCGCTTGCCTTCCCAAATTAACGCCGTCAACTCTCGTTTCCTCAGCTACCCGAATTTCCACTCGAAGCTGAACGCCCTGAAGAGAAGCCACGCGTGTCCGAAGTGCGACCCCTCCCGGCACTTCGTTATTCGTTCTCGACCACGAGACATCATAGAAGCGGAAGAAAAGGAAGAAGAAGACGTAAAGAAATCCCAGGTCCTTCCAGCTGACGACTCCCAGACTCGCAGAAGAGCGACCCCGATGGAGCCTGAGGGATATCCGAGAGAAGCTGGACAGGGTCGCCCGGTGGGCAGGACGATGTCGGTGGATGCCAGCACTCAGGATTAAAAAGCGAAGTTGGCCGGTATTTATTCTAATTTCCATATTAAAATGAATTGTTCATAGCTTGCATGGAATAAGTAATACCATCTCGATCAACGGGGACTCGGGTATGGATTTACAGGGAGAACGTGCCAAGCTCGGCGGCATATAGGAAAGACCACCTCGAGCTCGAAGCACGTAATGGCATCATTCACGCAGTAGCACTTACGAGGGTCCACCTGGAGATGGAGATCGTCACGCGTCTCGGAGAACAACAGTCATCCGGGCAAACCTGACGGATGGACTTTCTTCGGGTGGCCCGATCGGCACTCGGCCAGTTCGGGATGTAGTCTCATATGGAGGTCTGGGAACGACGGGAGGAATTCCTCCCGCGAGGGAGACATCGGCAGACCTCGTTGAGGCGATTCCTAGCGAGAAGAAGGCCCGTCGTTCCCCGAAATGCGATCCAGGTCGGACCCACCGGGAACGACGCGCGAGCTCGCGCCGTTCGGCGACACACCATGGCTGTCCATAATTTTAGAACGCGTAAATCCCGCCTTTGACTTCGATTTTACGATCGACCGGCCCTCTAGGTGGAGGTGCGTCGGGGGCGTCGGGAGCGAGAAAGAGTCCGAGCCAATTTCGAAGTGCAGCGAGCCGAGCACAAAGGTTCCACGGGTACGCTAACCGACGCCAGACGCCGGGGCATTATTCTCTTTGTTCCAATTATTAAGACGCCAAGCCTGCTCGAAGATGGCCCCTTTATGAAATATTGCGGCTCGGTGCATCTCGCGTGCCCGGGACCGACCGGACGGTCCCATCGATCCTCTTCAGAGGCCACTCGGAATCCCCAGAATCGGATTTATGCTTGGAACAATGAGACGCCAGAACTCTCCCAGACGCGGACCTAACGGCGCCTTGCTCGTTACTCGCGTCGGTCTAATGCCATTTCCTGACACCTTGAAGAATGAAAGTTACGCCAGAATGTTAGTACCGTACGAATGGCTCTACGACGTTGGGCCAACGAGAGTGTGATCTCTGGGAGCGAATCCAAAGACAAACGACGTCGTGCTCGACGGTTGTTTCGGTTCGCGGGCTGGCCGCGATAGTTCGGATACTGGAACCGGGGCAATCATCCAATACAAAAGGAACTGGCGTATTATATTTAGACAAGTGCAACGCGAGCACTGGAAACTGACTATGCACACAGCAAACCATAGTCATCGTCCTCCTCGTTTGGTTTTGTCGAACTGATGCGAAAGCTGGAACTTCCTTAGACCACGTGCATACGTCAGACCTATTGTATCATGTTCTAGTCCTGTCCCTGTGATAAAATTTCCGATGACCACGAGTCCAGGCTTTCGCTACTGACCATAATTACCTGCGTTATATCTTACTTTAATCGCATTTAAGTAACGTGCTCCCACGTCCACTGTTATTTACTTCTAAAGTGGGAATGACGTCCTATGCCCGCAGACTGATTATGTAGTATCCGAAATATGATTTTGCGATGGCCATTTGGCAGTTAATCTCCATCGTATGAAATTCCCATTTTATTCTAAATGCATTTAAATTCGTATTCTTATTTTAACTGCATTTAAATTCCCATTAAGATCCAATCGAAGCGCCGCAAGAAATCCGCTTCGAACAATGAGAGAGCGAACCCGCCCAGTCGATCTTCAGGCGGATTCGCAACGTCCTCTCGGAATTGATTCCTCGGTCGGCGAGAACATCCGCGATCTATTCGTAGCTTCGAGTCGGCATATACCCGTGAATCCTGGATTTTGTCACTAGCCGTAAATCGCTCGGACCGCTCAAGCTGGCGACGTCGTCGACGGTTTACGCGAGGCGCATGCGCGCGCCTTTCGCGCGTTTCGTTATTATATCATTCAAACGGACAGGGCCACGTCTTCCCGATTTAACGGCGCCGCGCTATTACGAAGTCGTTATTGGGAACGATAGCCGGTCGTTAAAGATCCGTTTCATTAGCCCAACATCGAGTTCAGCGGTGTCACGTATGTGATACTTTTATAGAAAGCGCATCTATCGTACAAGGATCGTCGTTAAGGGAGTTAAATGAGGCCTTAAGGCGGTACGAAAGTGGCGCCCGAGGAATTGATCGTTCATGAAACTCTTCTCTGAACTGGGCGTACCGAGTCGTTTCATACATTACCACATGAAATACGAAGGTTGTGAGGAAGCGCCTGACACTCATGAAATCTCACATTTTTGTGCTAGATTTAAAGAAATGTTTATAAATTAAATAAAGAACAATTGAAATTCACGGGTGGCAAGACCTTCCTTATAGTCTTCGTATTCGCATTGTAAAGTTTGAAATTATTCGGAGGAAAGTTTCATACACGCGGCCCAGATGACACTTTGGTATCACCTTAAAGTGGACGAGCTCGTCTCTAGGAAGGTGGACGACTCCAGGACCATCCGGGGAGGTTTTGCGCCTCGCGGAATCGTAACCGAGCATCTGCGATGGTATTAATGGCCACGGTTGGCGAATCTCTAAGGCTTGCCCGCCCTTAAGAACGGTCGTGGTCCACGACGGTGACACACGAGCGCCTTGGACAGTTGCGACAACATTGTAAGAGATTCTTCACGCGCGGCGTCCATACGTTACGGGAACGAGACTGCGCGTTAAACGAGCCGAGTGGGGAAAGGTGGACGAGAAGAAAGTAATTTATGGTTTACGGCTTATGAAAGGTAAAGCACACGGCTAAACGTTGAATGAGCACTTGCAAGCATAACCGAGGGGAACTACCCTTGACGGGACGAGCGGCTTCCGAGGACGGTTAAATAACGAAATTATATGCAAATCGCTGTTTTCCAGGGTTAACGGAGGCTTATTTAAGAGGCTTCGCGGTTAACGGCGTGTGAACCGTATAACGAGTTACGGGAAGGGGAGGAAAGTTAGAGCACGATCTGCCGGAATGGAGGTGGCGAGTCGACGGAATAAGGGAATTATTAAATGACCGAAGTAGGGACGTAATGGATTCCTGAGAATGCGGAGCCAACGACCGATGACAGGGGGAGGTTCACCGACGCCACCGCCAGGGGCGCCAGCGGCGCCGGTGGGTACACACTTTCTCGGGTTCGGGTTCAACGAGACGCCTGGCTGTTTTGCTTTGTTTCAGCTCCCGAAGAACGCAGACCTATTGTCAACAAACATATTAGACGGCTCGGTGGAAACGGAAATAACCGAGTGGGTGCTGCGTTCCCTGAACGATGCGTGTCCTGCGAGTCGGGGGAGCGAGTCGAAGGTGGCGCCGTCGGTTTCATTGAGCCAAGGTGAGCATTTAGGGAAGAAATGTGATCTACCTACGTTAAATGCCGGGATCAATGGCAGGAAAAGGTAGGCCTCTATAGCACGTATATTAAAGGGAAATGCCGGAGCCGGACGTAAAAAAATAAGTAACTATGGAATTGATTTGTAGGTGGATGACGAGACGCAAACGTGGAACTTGAGGACTACCCCTGGATGTTTAATTTGGTAAATGCAATGTGTTTTAATGAGAATTCTTAATTGCATACAAGTTAGCCTTGTCGAGGATTATTCCCGGTAATGATTTTTCTTATCAATAGATGGAAGAGGAGGAGGTGGAGGTTTGTTATCGGACGCGTGGCTAGTTCCTTTCCAAGCCTCCCAAGAATGATTAACGAGGATGGACGTTAACGCCAAACGTGAACCGTAAAACACCAGTTTTGGGCTTGGCTGCCGAGACAGGTGACGAATTCCTGTGTTTTCTCAGCGTCGCACGACCAGACGTCCATGAGCCGTCTACCGGCGCATAAACGTCAACTTTCTATGGCCCGCACTTTTACGACCTGTTTTACTAACGCGACTGCAAATGCTCGACTTACTTAACACCGAAATAGAGAGCAACCCACCGCCGAGTTCGTCGAGACGCTAATTCCACCGCGTCGTTAAGCGTCGTTAAACGACGCCCCTAAAGATGCCCGGCGATGAGCGATGGTCCACGAGGATTGAAAACGATCGGGCAAAACAATTGGCTGGAAAAGCTCTCGAAGAGATTCAGAATTCCTCGGCCCAGTCCAGGCAGGATTTCATGGGGTCCCTTGAACCGACACCGAAACGCATCGAGAAACCAACATGGCCGAAAGCCACCCTCCCACCCCCGGCAACACGGCTCTCCACTAAGCGAACTTTCGAGCGCTTTGATGTGAACTTTGCGTCCAACTATTTCTAATAGGAGGTCCCTGGTATATCGCGAGGCGATTAATCCGCGACGATGGAACGCCGAGAATAAATCCGCGAGCCATCGATCAACGTCCTCTGCATCCTTCCGACGACTTCCGGCCGAAGGTCCGAAGCGCATAATCCGCGCATGAGTCACCGATTTTCCCGGCGGATCTCGCGAATCCGAGAATATCGCGGTGGCCGGGTTCTACACCGAGTCGCGGATCTCGCCGTTATCCCCGGTGTAAACACGAGCGATATGTTGAGCGTTAACTTCGGCGCGTGGTCCGACGTCGTAAACCGACCCAGCCCTCGGTGCCTTAAAGCGGCCTTAGAGGGACGCCTCAGACCCGAAGATTTACATCGACGGAATATCAAAGTCAACCTCGAGGAGGGCCTTCTGGTCTTTAACGCGAGTCGCGGCCTTAATTTACGACCCTCGGGGCGGACTGTGACGGGACGGCAAAGAAAGCGCGACGGCGTCGCTCGCCGTTACGGGGGCCGCCATCTTGGCGACGCCGACACCTGTGCGCTCGTCCGCCATTGCGCCAGCTACGTAACTCCGCTCGACAGACATCGGGACTCATAACTCGCGAAACTCATAACTCAATCTGTCTCCTCCGCTTAACTCGACGGGTTATTCCGCGATATATGGAACAAGAACTTGGGTAATAATCAAATGGAAGGGTAAAACGGTGCGAAACCAGATCGGGTGGTACCAGGTGCGAGCAAAGTCACGTATGTAAGAAGTGATTCTCCTTAGTTTTAACGAATTTAATTCCTTTCCTTTCGTCTAGCCAAAACCTTGGTCGACGATTATGGACAATCTATCCAGCTCCATCTTGGATTTTTAAATACAGCTCTATATACTTTCGTTATCAGTAGTCGGATAGTCAGCGATCCTCCTCCAGATATGGTTTCGGCGTCTCGAAGAAGACGCCTCTCTGCGTCAGTCCAGCTTTTTCGGGTTAATTCCCTCGCGTGGGCGTAAATCGTGGGATTTTTTATGGAAACCAGAATCGTCTCCACCGTTTCCTCTCTGGGCGCTATCGAGCTTGACGTCGTCGCTCGCGACACGCTCGTAAAGCTCGCGCTATCAAAGAGGCCCTCCGACTAGGCGTCTCGCGCCCTCTCTCTCGCGCGCATCTCGGCCGGCCTCGGTCGGTCTCTCTCTTGTCGATTATATCTCCCGTCGTCGCTTGGCCCGCTCCGACCTAGGTGACTTTTTACCTTTCGGCCAACGATCCGGAACGCCGCTGCCATTCGCAGCTCGCTCCCGGGGGAGCCGCTGGGGTAAACCGGGGTTAAATTTAAACCGAAGTTACGATCCGAGTTAGTTATGGGGTTGTTAAGGAGACGCGCTAAGGGGAGCGTGGAAGTGCTCCGATCTGCCCCGAGACCAACACCCAAAGAGACGAGGAGACTCCCGCGAGCCTTTCTTCCACTCTTTCGGCCCCTCTAACCGCGTATTTCCAGCTTTTTTATCCGGAGACCACCGAAATGGAGGGTCGCTTTAGTGCGATGAATTGCCGCGGCGGCAAAGGACGCGCGACCTCTTCCAATGCTGCTAGAAAGAGCGAAAAAAAAAAAGAAAAGAAACCGAGCTCGCCAGAGGAAACTCTCGTTAAATACGCCTAGCCAGGACCTTTTCTCATATCTTCGACTCCACCTATCCAGTTGAAATATTTTTCAGGATTTTATGTTATCTCCTGCACTCGTTGACGTTTACCTAAGGTGCGTTTCTACCTAAAATCGGACCTTTAAGGCTCGGAAAAATATCACACTTATCTCGCTTAATGTGCGGTACCAAAAATGGCACGTTTGAGAAAAGTGGAATTCGGTAGGAAATTGTTTACAGGAGCTCTTCTTGCTAGACAACCGCAACGCCGACACATTACACGGCCGGGTACGCGTAGGATGCGTTCCTCGGCTCTTAATTGAAATGTCACCGTTTTGCACGGTTATTCGTGAAATTGCCGGTACTCCACCGTTGCACCGTAGCGGGTTGGGCGTGACAAACGCTTAGCGGGACACTTGATGGCTCTGATTGGCAAAACAAATATTCGGACCGTTCCGCACGTGTCTCGGATGTTCGCATCTCGAGACACCTCGTGGGCCATCACGTACGTCAGGATAAACGATGAATAAGGACTCCGAGCTGAAATAAATATGTCGATAAAAGCCCCGACCAGGTCTGACATCATCATCCCGATGGCGATGATTTCTCTATACAAATGAAATATAATTATGGCTTTTCTCCTGGACTTCTCTCAATGGGATTTTCACGTTAAGCTCATTTTATATATGGGTGTCGGATCTGTACCACGTGTAAGATTGACAGTCCTCTTGGGAAGTCCACTCTTCCTCGCGGAAGTTGT